GCAGTGGTCCAGACAGGGTTCTCGCGATACTGCTCTATGCAGCGCGTGAGGGCTGGAGTCGGGCCGAACCAACGACGAAACTCCAGAAGCCCATCACACTCGTAGACGGTGTGAAACACGGGGTCAGAAGGGACAAGCTGACAAATGGGGCACCGAGGTTTAAAGTATATGCCCCCAGATATAAAGGCCCCCAGAGCACGTTGCTGGAGCACCCCCCATCCTTCAGTCCTTTTTGACAAAAGGGAGAGTAGCGGAGGCAGGAAGGGGGGGCCAGACAGGTGACTGAAGGATGGGCGACGCTCAGAGGCCTGCTTCCAAGCCCAGACAGTCGCGTCACGAGTCACCAATGCAACCACCTCACGAGGGGACGTAGACGAAATATCGACGTCGGTTCCAAGAGAATTCCGCCATATTGTGGGCGAGACCGCAGACCACCCAATCCGACGCAGAGTGGCTACCAAGATCTGTCCTGGGCCCTGCAAGTCAGTCCACGGGGTATCTGGCGTCACCTTGGTGTAGGCTTCCTGGAACACTTGGTCTATCATACCGACGGGCAAGAGAGAATCCCATCTAGAGACAGCCCAGAGGCGAATAACTTCCGCATGCGCATCAATCGCAGGGTCCGTAACACCATGCAAAGCCAAATCCATCGTGACGGACCGCCGCTTACCTGTGCCAACACCAGCGTGGTATATAGTACGAACCTGACGAATCTGATGGCTAGACAGACCAACAACATCGATGCCGCACATGACCGTGGGCCGCAGGTTGGTGTTTACAATACCTGCAACCTTCGCACCAGCTCTCTTTAGCCTCAGAAGGCGTCGGGCCTTAGACATGGTTCTCTTCAAACGACCATTGAGGACAGGACGAGAGCGACGCCCCTGACGAAGCTGATAGTCAATCCCGAGGTTGCGACAGGAGAACTTGACGGCGCCAGCGAGACGCGGGGTTTCAGCTGCAATACTCTGGGCCAACTGGGGGTCGGTCGCCAAGAGCACAATTTTCTTCTCAGAAAATGGCAAACGTGCAGAGAAGGTCAGCTTGCTCATCCAAAGGTGTGACGCATCAGGACCCATTTTGAGCAACTCCCTTTCCGTGCCTATCCCCAAGACCTGGACGTCGTCGGCGACGAGGCCAAGATGCATATTTGGATTAGACTGAAGAAAGGAATCCAACTCAGGCATCAATAAAATACGCATAAACAGACCGGCAAAGGAACAAACAGCCACAATATTTACTAGCCCTGACCCACTCCCCGACGATTCGGCGCAGCGTGACCACACGTGGGGATCGATCCAGAGACAAGCATACCCTCAAGAGTGCCGGGTGAAACCCAAACTCACTAGCTCGTCTAATGAAAAGTTTGTGGCGAACCTGTTCAAAAGCCTTGTGGGTGTCGAGCATAAGTGCAATCACAGACAGGCCCTTGGACGCAGCAAGCTCCGTTAGCACGCCCATGCGCCACACACATGCTTGACAGGAGTGACCGCGCACACCATACACATATGGACGAGGATGTAGGCGCGCCCACATAACACCGTACGCGTGCCTGAAGAACCGAGAGAACGTGCGCACACACGTCGTGAACAGTGCCACAGTGCGCTCGCCGCCATCAGTCTTCGGTATCAAATTCATGATGAACACCGCGAGAATGGGGGGAAATCTACCCAGTCGCAGAACAGCCCGCCAGATGCCGAACAAGGCCAGAAGAGACGAGTCCGACAGGAGCGCATGCTGACGAGGATGCATCGAATCCAGTCCAACCGACGTGCGAGCCTTGTATCTGCGACACATCTGTCTGTACTTGTCCAGAGACGGGTGCGGCAAGGATGCAAGGTCATCAGGAAGTATCAGCGGAAATTCCAGAGCAAGGCAAGGATCATCCGGGTGCTCCTTCATGGGATCCCAGATAGAATGCCAAACTTCTTCTCGCGCCTTAAGATGATGCTGCGGCGTGCCGACTGGGGCGTCTGGGTTCGGGGTGGTCTTGTCAAAAGATGCCCCATCCATCGATCCCTTGACGAATCGGCGCGCAGCAGAACCGCATTCCTGGACAGATCGGATGGCCCATGATGTCCAATATTGATATCTCTGTGCCGATGCAGCACGTTCCAGAGCAGACGCAGACCCAGCCAAGACGCCACGCAGCCAATCGATGGAACCGAGACCCAGGGAACAAAGCCTATTGACATAATACCTCCACCATGGCCAATCAGGGGGAGGACCTCCGTCACGCGACGAGGGACGATATCGGCGCAGAGCTTGACAGGCTCTCTGATATGCGGGCCACAACTGCTTGTCAGCCAGATACAGAAGAGTGCCAAGACGGTTGGAAAGATACCTCCAGAGCCTGCCTTCATATGACGACACCACACCTCCAGGAAACAGACTGGAAACCGAAATCTGGATAGTTGAAGGGCGCCCACCCCACTTGGTGTAGTCCTGCGGATCTGGCAACTGGAAAAGGGCAACCAACTCCTGAGCAGACGTCTTCAGCCAAGAAGAAGTCAGGCGATCCAGGTCTTCCACAGCGTCGACTGCTTCAGGGCCAGGAAAGGCATCCCAGGAAGGCGGACAATTTGTACACCCCACGGGCCGTATTACAGGGATATGAGGAGGACGCCGAAAAGCAGAGACCAAATCAGAGTGGAGATTTCCACGAAGAGTGAGAACCACAGGCAGGTGCTTGGGGATCAGGGGCGTTTCCCAGACCTCACACTTGACTGCGGACGCAAGCAAGGGGTGAACCACAAAGTAGTCTATCAACGATTGGGCACCTGCGGACTCATAGGTATGGCGATCTGGCGCGACAATGACCCCACCTACGAGCGTTAAGAAGTCCGCATTCTGCAAGTCCTTGGGGGGGGCACATTCCAGTCCCCTGATATCACAAGGGGGGGGGAGATAGTCTTCATGACTGCTGCAACCTGCATCAGAAGCTGGGCGTTGCGATCTTCAGCGCCCTCCCCTGTGTGCAGATATACATTGGCCCAAGGAATGCCTGCATCAACAACCCCATGCCAGAGCTTCAGGATAAATCTCTCCGGAGGGGGCAAGACAACAATCGGATCCAAGACCACATCAGAGAAGGACCCGGCGTAGTGTGAGACAAGACCCACTCCCGAGCTCAAGCCGCTTTTCTGAGTACTGACTGACGGGTGAAGGTGCGCGTGGGACCCATGCTTATGTGCACGATTGACAGCGAACTCGATCACCTCTTCTGACCGACAGAGTCCTTCAAACCCAACAGCATCAAATCGATCAGGATCAGCCTCCAGGAAAACATCGGCATTTGACCAGGAGGTGACATTCACAGTGACAATGACCCAATCACGACGAGGCTTCTTCACGAAGGCTGGCTTGTCGGACGGGGTCGCCGATGTGCTAAAGGTCAGACGGGCCCTTGGCTTTGGAGCCCTTGGCACTCTCCTTGCCAGATTCAACAAAGAGAGCCTTCTCGATACCCTTGGAAAGGCTTTTGATACCCGTAGGGCCCCGGGCAACTGGCTGCTCGTGCACCGCCGCTGCTGGGGCGTCGGCGGGGGCAGAAGCGGCGGCAGCCAACGGCGTGCTACTTCCTGACTGTCCCGATGGATCAACAGCGACATCAGGGGCGCGCGCAGGACGTTTCGGCGAAGGTGGCAATGAGGAAGAAGAGCGGGGAGGGGCCCTAGCAACACGCGTTGGGGCCCCCTGCTGGTCGACAGACATCCTGGGCTCCTCCGACTGGGACCGAGGCTCGCTGGCAACAACAACAAGAGCGTAACCAGACATAACGATACCCTGAAGGTCACGCAAGGCCTGAGCAAGCTTCTTGTCTCTCTGGACTGCCTGGGAAGCTGCGAAGACGTCCGCAACGGCTGACAGATCTGGGGGTGTGTCACCCTCGGGGTCTGGCTCATTCGAAGGAAGATCCTGCAACTTAGACTGCCACATAGCCATATCCTGGACAACGCGCTCCTGACGGACACAGAGGGCATCTTTGTCACTCTGACGGTCAAGAATCTTGCGGTCGATCTCACGAATCTGGCTAGATATCTTATCAAACTTCTTACTGGCCCAATGGTGACGCTGCTTGTAGAATGCACGCTTCTGGGGAACAGTGAGCAAGTCAGACTTCTGTGCACGAAGATGCTGCAACTCTTCCTGGAGACCCAAAACCTGATCTTGGTTGGTGGAAGCAAGCGAAGGGACTCCAACTGGCCCTGCAAGGCCTTGATAATCTGATCAACCTGCGCAACCGAGAGCTCATTGCCATTAGTATCAACACAGCCGCCATCAGCGTCCATGTCATCGTCGACATAATCAGCCCAAAAAACCACGATCACTGCCGAGACCGTCGTCGCCAGAATCCTCACCGAATCTATCCTGCACTTCCTCTTCCAATGGAGCCTGAAGACGTTCATCCAAAGACCGAACTGGGGGAATGTCAGTACCATTGCGCACATCACGATCATGAGCACGAGCACGGGGAGGAGACAAGACACGATCATTGCCTTTGCTCCTGCCCTTGCCGTCTTTGTCGCCCTTGCGACCATACTTTCCTGAACCCTGTCCTCTCGAGCGGCCAGGAAAGGGGGTGTTACAGAACTTGCACTTCTGGGGGGGGCTGGTGTCGGGGATCCATGATGTCTTGCCAGCATCGCGACACACGAGACACACCAGATATCCCATGCCTCCAGCGCGCGCGAAACTCAACGGCCCGACGGGCTGCACTCTCGAGAGACAGCGACGGACGGGCCAAAGCTAATCGTGATTCGCTATGTTACTTTAGCTTCACACGTTTAGCCTTGAGCCAAAATGGCTACGGAACAGGAGGAGGAGGAGGAGGAGGAGGAGGAGGAGCAGGAGCAGGAGGAGGAGGAGCCCTACCGAGCGCAACCGCACCCACTGCAGCCGCCGCCCGAGGGGCCCATGCGCAGCGAGCACGCGGCCGAAGGCTGCTGGCAGGCAGGACGGCCGGCGCGCGCGGGCCCCCTGTACGGCCAGGGCCGCTCCTTGGCCAGCCTCTCGCGGGCGCGCTCCTCCTTCTCCTGCTCGGTCTCCTTGGGGGCCTCCGCCTCGAGCGCGGAGGGCGGAGGGCCAGGGCCCAGGACAGAGGGCCGGGGGCCACCGATCGGCGATCGACGGTCGAGGATCGGCGGTGGGGGATCGATGTGTCTCATCATTTTGTGATTCGTTGTTTATCTTTTTCAATGTGTATATATATATATATATATATGTATAGATATGTATATGTATATGTGTATACGCTTGTTAATTCATGTCCCCAACCGCGTGCACGCGGGGAGGGGAAGATAGCACCAGGTGCCCACAAACCCTGTTTAAAAATCACTCATACAGCGAGGACGGGAGGGAGATATACATAGAGAGAGGGGGGGAAACAAAAAAACAAAAAAAAAAAAAAAAAAAAAAAAAAACGAAAGAACTAGAATCGAAGATCGAGGATCGACGATGGACGATGGACGACCAACGATCGAAAGCCTTTGGAGCCACTTCTGGCCCTTTTTGGGGCTTCCTGAGGCCAACGCACAAGGAGCCCACAGAAGACGTACGCGCTCAGCCGTGCACATTTTGATTAACCAAAAAATACCCTTAACAATTTGTGAGGGGCCCTAAGTTAGGAGGGCCTGGAACATCAGGGATAGGAGTCTTTTCTGCAGACGTACCTAACCAAGCCGTCCAGATGAATTATCCCTAATGCGAAGGAGGGGACCTCAGTGAGGCTACATCTTCATCGTGCTATTACAGTTAGGGGCTCTCTGATCCTCAACGATACATGAAAACAGCCATGAACGACGAACGAACAACACACACCCATATCCGTAAGGGGGTCGTTGGGAGGAGGACTGGCTATGGGTATGGGTAAAGGTTGTCGGACCCTGGGGAACGCTCCTCTTCCAGCGGGGACCCCCATCCGACAACGCGCACCCATAGCCTTAGTGGGCCCCGGAAACGGCAGGGCCGTTTTTTCACCGTTTCCGAGAAAGTGCCCCTTGAAAATGGAAACAGCAAAAACGGCGACCGGAAACGGCAAAAAAACGGCTCCAGGATTGGAACCGGAGCCGGAACCGGTCAAAAAACGGCGACGGAACCGGTAAAAAAACGGCGTCGGAACCGGCAAGAGAACGGCAAAACGGAACCGGTAAAAAACGGCCCTGTCGTTTCCAGGGCCCACTAAGCCCATAGCCCTCTCCGACCCCCCCCGCGGGCCGAGCCCGGGCCCCCCGCAGCACCCCACGGCCGTGGGGCCGTGGCTTCTTCTGCGTCGCGGCCGCCCCCCCGCGCGGGGGGCGCCCCCCGCGACGGCCGCGCACAGCCGCGGCACCGCTCCGGTCGTCCGGGCCGCGAGGGCCTGTGCGTATGGGTGTGTGTTGTCGGTGCGTCGATCGAGCCTCCGCGAGACCCGCCTCGTGTCGCGCACGCCCCGCGGAGCGCCACGGGCGTCAGAAGCGGTCCCAGGGGCCGATCCAGGAAGCCCGCGCGGAGCACTAGGAGCTCATGTTGTATGCCGTATCTTTCCTGTTCGAGCCACGCTTAGGTCGTCCTACAGGCGGATCTTGTACGAAAAAATAACTGTTTTTCCCTATCTAGGCTCTGCCTAGAAGGGTTCTTACTCTCTTAGCTTAAAGGGGCCGGGCAGTGCAAAGCGCCCCGGGCGGTTCCCCCAGTCCCATGGGAGCGGTTCCCCCAGTCCCATGGGAGCGGTTCTCCCAGTCCCCTGGGAGCTTTAGCTTTAGCTTTAGCTTTAGCTTTAGCTGTAGCCTTAGCTGTAGCTTTAGCTGTAGCTCTAGCTTTAGCCTTAGCTTTAGCTTTAGCTTAGCTCTAGCTTAGCTTAAGCTTAGCTTAAGCTTAGCTTGAGCTTAGCTTTAGCTTAGCTTTAGCTTAGCTTTAGCTTAGCGTTAGCTTAGTTTCAGCTTAGCTTTAGCTTAGTATTAGCTTAGATTTAGCTTAGAGTTGCCTTAGCTTTAGCTTAGCTTTAGCTTAGCTTTAGCTTAGCTTTAGCTTAGCTTTAGTTTAGCTTTAGCTTAGCTTTAGCTTAGCTTTACTGTTACTACTAATGCTGCTTTCCTAGGGGCTCCAACTCCTAGGTAGGGTCGCACTGGGATAATTGTTTTACTATGTTTGAATATTCCTCCTGTAGGGGGACAGGCCCGACCTAAAGCCACGCCCCCCCCCCACCTTGCCAGAGTCTACTAAAAAGACTGACCCTCCCGCTCGTGACCTGCCAGGGGGGGGCCAAAAATGCACCCCTGGCCCAGAGGCCCCCCCCCGCTTCTCGCTCCACTCCGGAGCCCCACGGGGCCCTGGGAGCCTCCTGGAGGGGCTCGTTTTTTGAACTCGAAGAACCTGGCTCTTTCTTTTAACTCTAAAAATAAACAGGGCTCAGTGTTCTCATTAATTCCAAAAGGCCGCTGTTTGAATTCACGAAACCCGAAACCCTGAAGGCCCCCCCTGGGCCAGGGACACTTTCCGCAGCCCCCGGGCTGGGGGCCGCCCGTTTGCCTCTGGAGGCCTCCCGAGGCCCCCTGACCAACGGCCGCCGCCGATCCGCGCTTTTCGCCAGGCCCCGGCAGGCGTACTTACGTGAAGGGGGGAGGGGGCTGATCGCTCCTCCTCCCCCTGGCTTCCTCACTCCTCCTCCCCCTCCCCCCCCCCCTCCCTCCCCCCCCCCCCACCCTCCCTCCCTCCCTCCCTCCCTCCCTCCCACCCTCCCTCCCTCCCTCCTCCTCCTCCTCCTCCCTCCTCCTCCTCCTCCTCCTCCTCCTCCTCCTCCTCCTCCTCCTCCTCTCCTCTCTCCTCCTCCTCCTCCTCCTCCTCCTCCTCTTCCTCTTCCCTCCTCCTCTGTTCTCTTCCTCCTCCTTCCCTCCCCCAGAGAGGGGGGGGAGAGGCGGATGCCGGGGGGGGGGGAGGGGACCGCTCCCAGATGGGGCCGGAGCGCGCGGGGGGGTCGGAAGATCGCGCCGGCAGAGGGCACGGCGCAGAGGCAGAGGTCTTTCTTTCGGCTCGGGTACGTTAGTTCACGGGCATGGAGGGGGGGAGGAGGGGGGGGGAGGAGGGGAGGGGAGGAGGGGGGGGGGAGGGAAAATCTGAGCTCTGGTAAGTTAGTTCGCGGGCATGGAGGGGGGGAGGGGGGGAGGGGGGGCGTAACGGGGCTGGAACGGAAATCTGAGCTCCACGCAGGTCGGGGCTCGCCTGCACGCCCTTCCGGCGCAGCGCCGTCCGAAGAGGCGCGGGGCCCCCTCTGCGGCAGCTGGCAGTGGCCCCGCTCACAAGGCGTCCACTCTTACGCACATTCGCAGTAGATGCAAAACTCTGACATATCAAGTCCATAGTTGTGGGGGCTGGGGTGGGTTCCCCACTGTTCACGGAGGGGGGGATGACGCCATGCAAGCGAGCCTGCCCGAGACTCCGAACGAGGACGCCCCCGTGGGCCCCAGAGAGCTCCCGAGGCCCCCGCGGAGAGAGAGCGCGACGTCAGAAGTCTCGGGAAGAAGGGCGTGTGCGCGGACAAGGATTGAGGATCGACAACCGCGGATCGACGATCGTGCATCGACGATCGAGCCCACGTCGAGAAAAAACGCGACGTCGAAAGTCTGGGCGAAACAATGGGAGGACGCATGCGTGCACGACGAAGGCACGGCAAGTGGAGACGACGGGCAAATAGCTACGACATAAGAGCGAGCTCGCGCACAAATCTCGATCGCGCCTCTGTTGGCTTCTTCTCATCGTCTTTCTTCTTGCCGTTATCCGCCACTTTCTCCTTGTCCTTAACATCCGCCTTGCCTTCCTCCTTGTCGCTATCATCACCCTTCTTCTTATCGCTGTCAGAGGCGTCCGAATCGTCTTTCTTTTCACCGTCTTTCTTTTTATCGTCCTTTTCTTTATCTGAATCTTCCTTCGTCACCTGGGATTTTCAAGCTCCAATCAATTTGCTTACGAAGCGCGACAGGAAGAGCAGCTTGGTTGCAAAACCACGCTGTGAAACAAGAAGAGAAGCCATGGCATAGGGCATAGGGGGGCGATCCGGTACACATGTGCGCACATAAAAGAACACGTGCGCGCTCGCATCGTGTCTGCACCAGGAGTTCGAGCATCTTCTGATGACTGAGTTTGCGAGTATGGTTCCAGCTGTAATGGTGTACAACCAATGCATGCACAAGAAAGAGCCGATATGAACGATTATGTTGCAAACTCCTGCGCTTGCGCATTACAGAATTTACCTGTCGCACTGCACTCACCTCACACAATTTCCTTTCTCGCTCGACGTTCCTTCTCTCTCTCTCTCTCTCTCTCTCTCTTTCTTGCTCTCTCTTTCTCTCTGTCTCTCTCTCTCTCTCTCTTTCTCCCTCTCTCTCTCACTCTCTCTCTCTCTCGCTCTCTCTCTATCTCTTTCTCTCTCTCTCTCTCTCTCTTTTTCTCTCTCTCTCTCTCTCTCTCTCTCAATATGCGCATATATATATATATATATTCATATCCCTCCGAACCCCACAAGAACCCCCCTTTCTCCTGATTCCACATGAATTATATATATATATATGATTCCCACGATTCCTGGACTCAATTTTGAGGCTTTCTTTTGGAAGACTTTTTGGGTTCAAGTTCGGAGCGATGTTCACCCCCTGCAAGTGCACCCGTTTCCACCAGCCCCAGATACTCAAGCCCGCAATACACGATCCCGATACTCAACAGGCTCCCTCCCCAAGATGAACTTGAAAATAACCTTCTACTCAACTCCCTTCGTCTCCAACACACCACCCAGTACTCAACAGCCTCCTTCTCCAACACAACACCCGACGCTCAACAGGCTCCCTCCCCAAGATGAACTTGACAATAACCTTATACTCAACTCCCTCCGTCCCCAACACAGCACCCAGTACTCAACAGCCTCCTTCTCCAACACAACACCCGATACTCCACAGGCTCCCTCCCCAAGATGAACTTGAAAATAACCTTATACTCAACTCCCTCCGTCTCCAACACAGCACCCAGTACTCAACAGCCTCCTTCTCCAACACAACACCCGATACTCCACAGGCTCCCTCCCCAAGATGAACTTGAAAATAACCTTCTACTCAACTCCCTCCGTCTCCAACACAGCACCCAGTACTCAACAGCCTCCTTCTCCAACACAACACCTGATACTCAACAGGCTCCCTCCCCAAGATGAACTTGAAAATAACCTTCTACTCAACTCCCTCCGTCCCCAACACAGCACCCAGTACTCATCAGCCTCCTCCTCCAACACAACACCCGATACTCCACAGGCTCCCTCCCCAAAATGAACTTGAAAATAACCTTCTACTCAACTCCCTCCGTCTCCAACACGCCACCCAGTACTCAACAGCCTCCTTCTCCACCACAACACCCGATACTCAACAGGTTCCCTCCCCAAAATGAACTTGAAAATAACCTTCTACTCAACTCCCTCCGTCTCCAACACAGCAACCGATACACAACACCCCGATACACAACACAACGCTTTGGCCCCCACCAACACAACACACCGCAACACGAGAACCGAAACTCAACGCGCTTCCGCCTCCCTTTTCTCTTGGCATCGTCCAAGGGAAAAGGGGGTGCATGTGGGTTGCTGAGGCCTATATATATGTATGCAACGTAACAATATTTGTATGTACGCATATGTGTTTACATGCATGCATGCATGTATTGGTATGTGCGTGTATGCACGTATGTATGTCGATGTATGTGTGCATGCAGTTATGTATGTATACATGCGTGTTTGTATGTACATAGGTGGGTGTATGTATGTTTGTGCGCATGTATGTGTGTATGAGCGTACAGATGTATGTGTGGATGTGAATATATATATATATATATACATATATATATATATATATATATATATGTGTGTGCATGCGTGTTTGTATGTATGGATACATGTACGGTTGTATGTGTGTATGGGTGCATGAGTGTATGTATGTACACGTGCATACATGCATTCATGTGTGTATGAATGTATGCTTGCATGCATGTATTCATGGATGGGTGCATGTATGTGTATGCATGTGCTGATGCGTGTTCGTATGTTGTGTGTACGTATGCGTGGACGTATGCATGGATGGAAGTATATGTTTGCATGGACGCGCATATGGATGTACGGATGTGTGTGGATGTATCGGTGTATGGATGTGTGGCTGTATGGATGTATAGGCGTGATGCTTGCACCTATGTATGTATGTATGTGTGTACGTGTGTGTGTGTGTCTGTATGTTTGTAACTGTGTGTGCATGGATGTGTGTACGCATTGATGCACGAATGGATGTACAGATGTCTATGGGTGTGTGTATGTGTGCATGTACACATGTATGTATGTATGTGTGTAGGTGTATGCATGTTGGATGCGTGTGTGTATGTATGTATGTATGTCTGTCTGTCTGTCTGTATGTATGTATGCATGTATGTATGTATGTATGTATGTACGTATGTATGTGTACGACGTATGTATGCATATGCATATGTGCAAACATGTACGTACGTGTGTACGTGTGTGTGTGTACATCTGGATGTACATAGGTATGTATGTAGGTATGTAGGCCAGTACGTAGGTTGATATGTAGGTAAGTATGTATGGCTGTGTGCAGTTATGTTTGCGTGTATATGTATGTGTGTATGTATGTGTATGTCTGCATGTATGTATGGCTGTATGTACGTATGTGTGTATGTATGTGTATGTATGCGTGTATGTATGGATGTACACATGCATGTCCGCCACCGCGCCCTCAGACACGAGTTGGAGTGTCTTCAGGTCCCTTGCTCGATCCCCTGAGCCCCAGTCCTCACTCCTGAGGAGTCTTTGAAGGGGCCCTCAAATCTCCTGGGGCTTGGCGCGGTTCCCGTGGGCTCCCCCGGGTGGTGGCGCATGACTCTTTCGGGGCCATGAGGAGCCCAAGACGGGCCAAGAGACTTCCAAGAGCCCGACCAGACGGTCCAAGACGCCCCCCAAGATGGCCTCCAGTCCGCCGAAAACTCGCCCAAGCCGCACCAAGACGCCTCCAAGAGCTCCCCGAAGAAAGAGGACCCCAAGAGGCACAGATGGGGAAACGGACATTTCTGACATATGATACGGTTCGGCCTTCACAGCGCTGAAGACGGCCCAGGAAGCCCCAAGAGAGCCCCAAGACGGCCCCAAAAGGTTCCCAAGAGTGGGAGCCCAAATCGACAGTTCAAGCCTTCTGTCCCAAGATGTCCCCAGGAGGCCCCAAGAGGCCCCGAAGAGGCCTCAAGAGGCCACCAGGAGAGCCCCAAGACGCCCCAAGAGGCTCCAAAACGGCCCCCAAGAGGCATCAAAACTGCCTCCACGAGGCCCCCGAGGGGCCTCCCACGACATCCCAACGAACATCCTACGAGATGGCGCATGGCACCTTTCGCTTGGGAGCCTTGGCGTTAAGAGCTTTTTGCATCACCGCTCTCTGTTGGGAGCCCTGGTGTTCTCAGGCTTTTACGTTGCCACTCGCTCTTGGGCGCCTTGCTGTGAAAAGCGTTTTACGTCACCGCGCTCTGAAAAGCCTTGGTGCTTAGAATTTGTTACGTCACCGCTCGCTATTGGTAGCCATGGTGTTAATTAGCATCTCTGGGAATTCTTGGAAGTCTTGTGGGAACCCTTTCGGGCCGTTGTGGAACTCTTGGGCCGTCTGGGGGCCAGCCCAGTCCCCACACCCAAGCAGCCCAAACCCCATACCGCCATTTCGGGCCCTCTTGGGAGCCTCTTGGGGCCAGCTTGGGGCTCTCTTGCAGCCGTCTTCGGGCCCTCTTGGGAGCCTATTGGGGCCCTCTTGGGGCTCTCTTAAGACCGTCGTGGGGACGGCCCTCTTGGACCGTCTGGGAGCCCTCTTGGACCGTTTTCGGCCCCTTTGCGGCGCCTCTGGGGCCGTCTTGAGACGATCTTTGGGGCCTCTTGGGCCGTCTTGGGCCCGTCTGGGGGCCCTCTTTGACCGTTTTCGGCCCCGAGGGCTTCGCCCCAACTCAACGTACATCGCTCGTACCTCGCTCTTTCCGTCACCTGGGCCGGCACAATAACGGAAAGAGCGCTTCAGGAACTTGCCCGAGATGGCTCATGGCACCCTTCGCTCTTGGGAGCCTTGGCGTTAAGAGCTTGTTACGTCACCGCTCTCTGTTCGGAGCCCTGGTGCTCACAGACTTTTACGTTGCAACTCGCTAATGGGGGCCTTGCTGTTAAAAGCGTTTTACGTCACCGCGCTCTGAAAAGCCTTGGTGTTCAGAGCTTGTTGCGTCACCGCTCGCTGTTGGGAGCCATGGTGTTACTTGGCGTCTCTGGAGCTTATTGGTAGTCTTTGGGGGGCCCTTTTGGACCGGTTTGGGACTCGCCGTCTGGGGGCCAGCCCAGTCCCCACACCCAAGCAGCCCAAACCCCATACCGCCATTTCGGGCCCTCTTGGGGGCCTCTTGGGGCCAGCTTGGGGCTCTCTTGCAGCCGTCTTCGGGCCCTCTTGGGCCCCTGGGGCCGCCATGGGACGATCCTTGGGGCCTCTTGGGCCGCCCTGGGCCGTTCTTGGCCCGAGAAGGCGAGAATCGAACAAAGATATCAAAACCAAGGGAAAATCAATGTTTTGGAAATCCTCAGGCCCTTGTGGGGGTCCTCTTGGGGGCCTTCGTCGACCTGCTTGGGGCCTCCTGGGCCGTCTTGAGGCCATCTGAAGCCATCTTGAACCGCTCTCAGGCGGTCCTGGGCTTTCTTGGGGCACGTTGGGCCACCTTGGAGCCCTCTTGGACCCCTCTTGGGCCTGGCCATTCGATGCCGGTCGTCCGCGCCTCGCCCCTCCCCTGGACCCCTCCCTAAAGGGCGTCGCCCCACCAGAACGTCAGCGCTCGTACCTCGCTCTGTCCGTTACCTGCTTGGCACAGGGTCGGAAAGCGCTCGTACAC